TAAAATATTCAACAATAAAGACAATAAAATTATGTAATATAAATATTACTAATTAAAAAGCCATAATAAAAATAAACATAATCTAAAAGTACTAAGTCATGCTAAAGTAAGTAGACTAAGAAGGGAGTATTAATTACATGACTAAACGCTAAAGAAAAGATAAAAATAGATTATGCATTTTTATCTAAATTATTGCAAAACAAAAATAGATATTCAATACATTGTCATTCGTAGTATTGAATTGAATATATTTTGTTAGCATTAGTATTGATTTGATTTTGGTTTGGACTTTTGTTAGCATTATTTGAGTTACTAATATTAATGGCTATAAAATTTATTGGAACATTCAAAAGTTCTAAGTCCAACCTTGAAATAATACCTTAAAAGATAAAATTATGAAAAAGTTGAAGAAATATTTATAAATTACATCACAATAAGTATATTTATATATTAAATATATCTAAAATTTATATATATGTGATGTCGGGTTGGTTTGGTTTCGGTTTGACTTTCTTTAGTTAAAATCAAACCAAACCACTTATGGTCGGATTTTTTTTCTAACACCAAACCATAGTCGGATTTTTTTTCTCGGTTTGACTCGGATTATCGGGTTGATGCAGTTTGTCGGCTTCCTTTGTACGCCCCTAATTAACCTAGATCACTTTCACTTAAGTATCTAACGTTGGATAAGATGTTTCAAACCCTTATGGAGTATCCTCATCAAAAGAAGGAAAAGGGGCTATATATTTCTCCTTTCCATAATTCCATGTTAGCTTCATTTCCTATTATTTTTATTATTATTTGATTCCTTGACAAAGTGATTTCATTTCTGTAGAACTCTCAAAGACGCATAATTACATATATTGTTTTACAAGAAAATCGCTCTCAAATAGCAATATTTATGAGAATAATAGGTACTTACATGAAATTTACATTAATCTAACGCTGTAAAAAGATCGAGAACAACCAACCAAATGAAGCAAATTTACTGGATGTAGGACACTTAAACTTGAAGAGACCAAAATTAAAGGACCACTAAAACAAAATTTTGAAGACTGGAAGGAGAAATCTTCAATTTAAATCCCATAATTCCCATGAAACGTACAATCTTCAGAAAGGTATTTTATCAGTGATATACTGGAATAAGGCAAAAGGAGCATTGACTAGACCAAGTGCCATTTCAACCAAGATTGTCACACAGAAGCAGCAGGGGCATATGCATGTTAACATTAACCTGCACCATCCACATGACCAAAATATGTCAATAAGCTACAAAAGAAGATTATACATTTTTTTAACATAAAAAATGCTTTCTTCCAACAACTTTGTTTGACATATATAGTATAATAAGCTACATAGGAATAAGTCAGACTAATAAACACTCTTAAAATGATTAGCAGTTTAGAAGTACTTTTCATATAGGTATAATCTTCACCTTTAAAACATACAAATTGAAGGACATAGACGTAGTAAAATAAATTACTCCACTTTGTTTACTTAGCTTATAGCTCATTTGCGATAAACATAGACCAGTATCTCGTCCAAATAAAACAGCCATGACAATGAACATGAGGTTATAGGTTCAACTTCTATAAAGCAAATCCTACACCGATAAATACTCGTGACTCGTGTCCATTGTGATTTTATTCTCGGAAGAAATAGAATAGCCGTTAATAAGGAACTTTTCAAAATATGTTTAATAAGAAAAACAAAAATAGATACATAAAATTCTTCTATTATCTTTGCTATAGCTATGCTTTTCTCGGAGGAGTTTAACTATTATGTCACCCAAAAGATAACTAGGTACATGTTGTGGGATTAACAATTTATTAAAATTTTATATATATATATATATAGAGAGAGAGAGAGTGACAGTGTGTGTGTTAGTGTTCATATATAAGTTAATTTTTTAAAAAAAATATGAGAGTAACGATAAAATTATTATAAAAAGAAAGAGGAATTATAGAAGGACAAACCCGAAAATCCAGATAATTCCTCCAACAAAAGCGAGGACAAGAGATATAAGGGCAAATGGAAGTCCCAACAGAAACGCTATTGGCCGGCATTTGAACTTTTTTTCACTTGGCTTCTTCTCCTCATCTAGCCCTTCTGCACTTTCTTTTGTATCTTCACCGGCTTTCTCTTCATTCTTAACTTCTTCATTTTTCTTGTCCTCAGTTGGATTTTCTTCTTTAACTTGTTCTGCAGCTATATTTGCATCACTTTCAATTTTTACAGTCTTTGGTGCAGTGATGATCCCTTGATCATTTTCCTTAGCTGTTTCTTCTGACTTTGTTGCTTTCTGTTCGTGATCTCCTTCAATGGGTAACTGTGACTTTGCTGATTTCTCTTCGCTGATATCCATTGTTATGAGCTCAGCGTTGTAGAGAAAGAAAGCTTTGACTAAGTATTATGTAAAAAGGAAAGCCTGCTGAGAAACAAATCTAATCGCAGCCATTTATATTGTACGTAAAGGTTTGTTGAAATTCATTGGCCAATCAAGACAGAAAGAGAGTTTGGTAATAGCCAACCAAATCCACGATTTTCCCCTTTGTTTTATGTACCCAATTGGAGTAAATTGAATTTTGTTTATCCCACTTGCATCCAGAAAATAATATAAAGTCAAGGTCAATACGCTTAATATATTTTTACTAAAATTAAGAATCTATTTGGTGTGTCTAACTACTTCATGAATGAATTTGTACTGCGTAACAGCTGACTTAAAAAAATGCTAAATCAGTGACCTGGCTCGTTCCCTTGGTTTCTCCCTAAATGAAAAAACAAGATAAAGTCCATCAAGACCGAAGAAGAATTTAACGAAAGAAAAAGAAACAGCTCACTATAATCTTTTCTTTATTTCTTTCTATTTTTCAGTTTTGGTATATATATATACTCCTTAGAATATTTTCTCTATTGCTTTAAGGCTTTGAGTTAGATGGATATTCAGATTATTTCACATTTTTCATATGAAGCCTCATAAAAGTATACAGATTAAATGATTACCATACATATAAGGATTTTTTAGCAGGTGATATGAGTAGTTCTACGAATATTTCATCGTTTTATTGTTAAATTCCAAAATCCCCAAGCCTCAGCCATTTTGTTATGAACTCAAGGCTAACAAACCCTGTAATTGTCTCATCCAAGCTAAGAATCAACACTTAGGTGTGAATCAATAATGAGAGAAATTAATTAGTACGCTATTACATGTGATTGTTTGGCGCTGCTTATCAACAACCTTAATATCCAGCTAATATCTTTACTAAGTCAAATAGCAATCCAGATTTTACTTATAAATATAGGGATAATTATACGTGTTAATAATGTGGGCATAAATAATGTGTTAGGTGTTTGCCATAATTTTCTTATCATATTTGGTTTTCCTATCTATTGAAGGAAAGGGCATCACGTTTACCTTAATTGGGTTTTCCTTCTTGTAGAAGGAAATTACAAATCTCTCATATTTGGCTAGTCCTTTTTCTTGTAGGAAAAGGTTTGGACTTCTATAAATTGAGGATCCTTTCTTCTCATTCAGTAGCATCCACAATGTAGTCATATGGGGTTTGAGAGTCGTGTTTTCGGGGAGAACTTTATGGGACAAGTGTTAGTGAGTCACTTGTGTTTGCCTCTTCGTGAGGTTGTTCTCTCGATATTTTGTACTCTCTTTTTATTATAGTGGAGTGCTCATCTCCGTTGTGGACGTAGGTCAGTTGACCGAACCACGTTAAATGTTTGTGTCTCTTTTGGCATATTTCTCTTTTGTTGTGTGATCTATTGTCGTTCATGTTAGAAACTTAGCGTCCACCAGACTGTATAGAGAACCGGGTTCTCTATGAGTTTCCTCTGAAAATACTGATGAACCAAACTATATAGCGATCTGGTCCTATATCAGTTTGGTACAGTGCTAACTACTGAACAAGTATGTAAATGAGACACAGGATAAGTTCCCACTGTATAAAGAACCAGATTCTCTATAAGCTCCACTGTAAGCAACAGACTATAAAATCAGCCAGTATAGGGAATCAGGTTCTCTAATTGTTTCCACAATAGCTCGGCAGAAAGTAAAGAACACAGAGGATTTTTACGTGGAAACATCTCAACTCAAGGGGACAAAAACTACGACCTACACTTGTAGGCTTTCAACTTCACTAACTTATAAACCCCTATTACAAGCCACTTTGTAATAACTCTATTACAAAGATTCAACTCAACTAACTTGTGGTACACCCACCACAAGCCACTTAGTGAGTCTCTAGTTACAAAGACTTTGACTAACTTGTGATACTCTCACCGCAAGCCACTTTGTAATAACTCTATTACAAAGACTTTAATCATTCTAACTTGTAATAACACTATTACAAGCCACTTTATCACTCTCTAGTTACAAAGACTTTAACCTATGACTAAACCTAGTCACAACATAAACTTGAGAGTTTACGAATTTGGGTTTCCTAAAAAATAACTTCTAAAAAGCAAGATAGGAGTTACAATGAAGAACAAATAACAAAGACTCAACAAACCTAAGGACTTAAGATATCTTCAATCTTGGATCCGGTCCTTGAGGTTGCAGCAACTTTGTTCTTGAGAGAGGTTGAGGCAAACACTTGAGAGAGGATTTTCGTTTTCTGTTTTTGCAAGTGTTGGAACCTGAATCTTGTGCCTTGCATAAGGTTTATAGTGCACAAGACATTATCTTAGTGATGTCAATTCACAATGGTGATGTCCAATCTTAATGGAAAATGGTTGTTGCACTGTTGCAGGTAGTCACTTTCTGTAATTGCTTTCTAGATGTACAGTTGACTTATACTTCTATCAGGGGAACACCAAGGGATCAGGTCCCTAATCTGGTTCTTGTGAATCTAAAGCACACTGCCCAGATTATCTTGAGTCGATTAACTTGAATGATTGTACTAGGCATGCTTCAGGTCCTTTATCTGGTTCTCTCATGAAGTAAGTTATTTTACTTTCCTTGATTGTATTTATACGTGTGTGATATCATTTACAATAATTTAAGCAAGATAGGTAAAAAGCCTTCCATAGAAAGTTGACTGTTGCACTGTTCCTGTGCAGTAGCGTGTGCAGGCATCAACTTTCCTGCTGGAGAGTTGACTTCATACAGTCTCCTCGGGAACTGGTAGGGACCTGTTTCCTTAGTTGTTCCTTCCTCTCTAAAGAGTTGAGTTATATATCTCGCTAGATCCCAACCTGGAACTTTGTGATCTCAAGGTCTTGTAGATGTGTAACAAGGTTCCTTATCTGGTTCTGGATGGTAAGTTTGTTAGATCATCAAAACATAAAGTAAAGTACTTATGCCCAAGGTACTTGTAACATGTCAATTTCCCCCTTTTTGATGACGACAAACTTTGAATTGATATTCCCTCTAAGAATCAGATCTCCATATTGTTCCCCATACGAATCAGCCATATTCCCCATGAGAACCGAACCTAAGGAACTGATCACAACTGGTTCCTCAAGACTGTTTGGCAAATCATCAAAACTCAAAGTACCATAACTTATCAATTTCCCCCTTTTTGATGATGACAAACCCAAAATTATTATTCCTCTTGAGAACCAGATTCCTCACATGTTTCCCTGTGGATCAGACCTATAATCAACATATTATCAGCATGTTCCCTCTGTGAAGCAAAGCCATCTTTCATGCACAACACAACTTATTAATTCTTCGATTCTATTCCTTCCCCATGTTGACACACCTATATAACTTCCCCCTTTTGGCATCATCGAAAAGAATAATATAAGAAGCACCACCAAAAAGAAGTTCAGCAACATTAACTCAGGCCACTTGGGCAACACAACATAAACAATAACAAGAACAACAAGTGAATGTCAATGCACAAAATAGAGTGATTGCCCATAGTAGAGTAATTATAATAAAAGCACAGTAGTTTCAACAATACATAATATGACAATTTAAACAACTAAAGTACCAATGTCATCAAATATAGGGATCAAAAGAAGGTAAGAATTCAAGGGAATTTGGAAGGATTGAAGGACATGGATCACTGGTCAAGAAGAAAAGTAAGGGGCTAAGGCTTTGATGAGCTTGTCCATTCGTTCATTTACTCTCCTTTGATCAATGATCATCTGTTCCCTCGGTTCCTCCATCTGTTTTCTCAATATTTCATTCTCACCCTTCAACTTAGCATTCTATTCTGTCAGGGGTCCTCGAGGACCAGGTTCTCAACCTATCTGAATATGTTGAACCATCAATAAGATCACCAAGAATCTCCCCAAGTTTCGTCTCTTCAAGAACAAGCTCAGTCCCATGCACATATAGCTTCAGAGTGTCACATAAAATATAGAACTTTTTACTTCTTCTTCATAAACGTTGGGACTTCGAGGAACAAGGAAGTGATTCTATTTTTCGAACTCAACAATGTCAAGAAGTTCCTCTATTTTTCAGTAATATCAGAGTCAACACTCTGCCGAACAACACTTTTTGAGACTTCAGAGTCTTCTTCCTATCCAAAACTGATAACTCAACCTTTTGCTTCTGTAAGGAACCAGGTTCCTCACTTACACTACCATTTCTATCCCTGAGCTGCCATGTCTCCCTCTTTCTCTTCTCAATCTGTTCACCCTTATCATCTGTTGCATCTTTCTCAGCCAACTTTCTGTTCTCCATTTTTTTATATATATGTTTTTTTTCACATATGGAGATTCTTCCACTTCATCCTCTCTTCCACAATCACCATATCAGCAAGTTACACCACTTTATCATCAATCAACCTGCTTTTCTCAATCCTTTATACTGGATCAGAGGTTCATTTAAGCATAGAACCCAAGAGAAAAATATCATCATTAGAATTATCATCCTAAGAAGGATTTTAGGGACCGAGTCCCTTATTCAGTTCCTTTCTTTTTCAGCATATTCACCAATTCCTCCATCCTTCAAGGCTTCTACAAATCCAACAATAATTTCACCCTCACGCTCTAGAATATTAGATCTACCCTATTCCCTTTTAGTTAAACTTCCATAAAAAACTACCTAAGAATTCTTGGGGTTTTGATTCTGATGGAGTTAGGTCTTTGGAAAGTGAAAAAGTTGGGTTCACTTCTGGCATATTTGGAAAGAAGGATTATTTTGAAACAAGGTTGATTTTGATTTGGAAGAAAAGAATTGGTTTTGGTTGGGTGTAAGATAGAAGAAGTGGTTTTCGGGGGAACGGGTCAGTTCAGAAAAGGTTTAATATTTTGGACTTCAACAGTTAGGAGGAGAGCCAGGAGAAATGTAGAAATAAATTAATGACATGACACTTGAGCAGCTTAAAAAGGCATATAAGTATTGAAGAGACTACTAACCTGAGTCACAGGAACCAGGTTCCTTGACGGTTTTTTGAAATTTTTTGAGCAAAGACTCCTAGAAGTGCAAAGTCATTCTTACTTGTTTTTGTCCTGAAACTGCCATATGTGTATACCTGTA